ACCCAACCTTTTGCCTTTAACAGCCACACATTTCCGGTCATAAAAGTGACATGATCATTAAGTACTATCAAAACAACCCCTACTTTATTAACATCTCATTTTAATCAAGGCTAATTAGTTGTTGAACAGCTGAAATTTACCTGTTCAGGTGACAGGTAAACTTTTTTGAACCGGACATTGATCGGTCTATTCAAAGTTATTTTCTTACATTTCAACGTTTGCATCTAATTTATTTAGTCAAAAAGATTTAAATTAACAGAAATATGTTTGCAAATATGATTTGATGAAAAATTAAAAAGGTGAAAATGAAAAATCATCATAACCACGTTGTTTGAACCAGAGACATGTAACTAGTACACTTGTGCGCAGGTGTGAAATTTAATTATACATCCTAATTTCTTCAAAAAATGCTTAAATTGTCATTGATACCTTTATCTCACGTTAATTTCGAATATTTTCTTGAAGAAATAACGCAGAAAGAGCTACTTACACTCATTCAGCAAACATACACGGAATTTACGTATCCGTCTCTGGTCCCTGTTTTACCATTGTCAAGATAACATCCGGTATTAGATTTAAAAACGAAAGTAAAGTTTTTGACATCGTTATTTTGCACAAATAAAGAGTCTAAGGCAGATATAAGTACGCTGATGTTGCACACTTCGAATGATGCACTGCCAATTTAACAGTTTACGTCAGAACTTCGAATTTGAATCAAAGAAAGTTTAATATTGTTTTTTTTTAATGTCAATCATTGGGATGGCCAACTCGGCAACTGATTACCATAATTGCCTTTTGTTTATTTTGTCTTAAGGAATTAAAATTGGGATAATATATAAAATGTCCGGTTGGCTAAAAATAATTTTGGAAGCCCTGGATTAGGTAGTCTATAATTAAACACTTTTACATCCCACCAATATTGATGGTAATCTTTGACTTCTTCATCTTAAATTGTTTTTAAAAAGAAATAATAATATGTTGTGTTTTAATGCCATCGGATATAATGTGTACAACAGGTACAGGTACAAGTTTACAAGTAACTAGAAAATGTTTAGTACTTTAGAGTTATATCCCTTTATCACTGTTTTAAGATCTTAAAGACAAATACTACTAGAAATTGAATATTAAAGAGTAATATATCATATATTTTTTTTCAACAATTTTAAATTTGTGTACATAAATTCCATATTAAAATGTTATTTAGCATGTTCAGTGCTACATGTCTCTCTGTTGAAGACATTTTGCTGGAAAAAAATAGCAAATTTCTCTTTGTTTTAATGTCTAAACATTTCTGCATTTAATTTGCCAAAAACAATAAAGAAATTTAACAGTGGTATAAACAATTGACACAAAGATATGTCTTGCCTCTTTGTACACATGTTTTTGTGAAAAAAATTTCATGGATTCACCATTTGTAATTCTAATAACTTCTTTTAAATTTTCTGAAGTAACTGATTTGAAGATAGTTGCATGAAGTTCTTGAGAGTCGTATAATTAATATAACATATCAAGTTTCCAGCCTACTGCAAATAGAAAACCATTCAATATATATCACTGTAGAAACATATAATTCAATTACAATAAATTGTACAAAATTTAACAAGAGTTATCTTTCTTTTTCTGGTGCAAAATATACATTTGTAATTATATATATACCAGCTAGAAACCTGCTTGAAGATGAAGAATACTTCGAAATTTGAGGTTTTCACTTGATTATTTTTTATTTATTTTAATATTAGCAATTTTCGCATATTTTCTTAATACAAGCAAATAAAGAAAGAAACACAAAGAAAAAAAGGGACTTGTATTCCTTGTTTTAAAAGATTTTTATCATTCACAATTTAAAAAATTTTCTATTCATTTTCTTCAAATGTTCCAATTTGAAACTGAGTTGACAATCAATAGTACCACCAGCAATTTTCAATTTGTGTAAAGAAAGTACTTCCTTGCTGTGCATATTTTATGAATCAAATTTTTATGCCCTACCTAGGGTCATTATGTTTTTCGGTCTGTGCATCCGTCCGTCCGTCCATCTGTCCCGCTTCTGGTTAAAGTTTTTGGTCAAGGTAGTTTTTGATCAACTTGAAACTTAGTAGACATGTTCCCTATGATATGATCTTTCTAATTTTAATGCCAAATTAGAGTTTTGACCCCAATTTCACAGTCCACTGAACATAGAAAATGATAGTGCGAGTGGGGCATCCATGTTCCAAGGACACATTCTTGTTAATACAGAAATTGGATTTTCAACTAATTTGTAATTTTTAGTCTGCTTTATATAGGATTCTGAGTTTATTTATTACTTCCTATGACATGGAAGTATACTGAAACAGCCAAAACAAATTATGATGTTACCAATCAACAGACACTATATATTTGTACATGTATTAATATATGTTTGGACCCAAAGCTTTTGAAAAACATATTTCTGAAAAGTATTGCAATGAAATTTGATATGCATGTAAAGGTATAATATGCTATTCCAAATTAATTGCTATTGAGACAGCTATCAATCAGATTCCAAATCATATAGTCAGCTTTAAAAGTCCCCAACATGAAAAACTGTGAAACAATTCAAACAAGAAAACCATGGGCCTGATATATAACAAAATAATAAATGAAAAACAAATATCACAGACAAGTTCACAACAACAACCACTGAATTACTGGCATGAGACATGCAGACTGTATGTATGGGTTTTGCTCATTTTTGAAGGCCATATGTTGACCTTTAGCATCTACATTTTATGGAAGTCATGTGATCTTTGGTGGAAAGTCGTCCCATTGGCAATCATACCACATCTCCTTATTAGCATACATGGTCCAAAGCTCCATGTTGGTTAAAAACTCATTAGAGCTTATGTTATGTCCTTATTTGTATACCATGCCGACTCTAAATAAAGCTTATTTTATTTATTTATTTATTTTTTTTTTTATTTATTTATTTATTTATTTATTTATTTATTTATTTATTTATTTATTTATTTATTTATTTATTTATTTATTTATTTATTTATTTATTTATTTATTTATTTATTTATTTATTTATTTTAAAGGGGCAGTGTGAGCTTTTCATATCATTTAGCATCCGTCGCCTGTAGTCATCTGTCATGGTTGTTATTGTCTGTTAACTTTTACAAAGATCTTCTCCTCAGAAACTACTGGGCCAATTGGAACCAAACTAGGTCACAATCATCATCATGGTATCTAGTTTAAACCTTTTGTCAAATGACCCCACCTGCCAACCAACATGGCTGACATGGCTAAAAATAAAACATAGGGGTAAAATGCAAGTTTTATCTATTATCTTGAAAACCACGAAAGATGGAGCTGTTGGAGCTAAACTGTTAAGTATGATGAGTTCTACCTATTTTTTATTTAAATCAAAACTTTCAGATGACTTCCTAAATGAGTTATTGCCATTTAAAGGATGAAATTTTACAAATTTTTCTCATGTTTGCCTATTATTTTAAAAACTTAAATAGATCAACAGAAACTTTAAAAAGAAAAATAACAATGATGGCAAGATCTATAAATAAGTTGATATTGCTGTAGATGTTGGTCAACTCTTTATAGCAGAAATTGCCCTTAAATGAAGATTTTTACCAACTTTTTCTGTTTTTGCTTTTATCTTGAAAACTATAAAATATAGATAAAAATCTAAATAGCGAAAATGATCAGCAGGAGAAGATCTACAAATATGTCAACATGAATGAAATTGTAAGTTCACTCTTTATAGAGTTATTGCCTGTTAATGTCGATTTTTACCATAAAGTGGCCATTGTTGTAGATGCAGGTGAGCAAGACAGGCTCTTCAGAGTTTTAGTTTTACATTGTGAGCATTTAACCCTCCACTTAAACTGGGACAATGGCTTAACAGCACAACATCAGAACAAACTACCAGTATGAAAATCACTTCCCAGAGACATCAAAGACTACATGACATGGAATAATTTGGATATGTACTAGGACTGCTATGAAATTTCCATATGTCAGCAAATGACATATATAGAAAACGTATTTTTTTTGTCTGCTAACAATTCATTAAGGCCATAGCTAAATAATATTTGTTTGGTTGTTTTAGAAACCTACAATTAAAATGAACTGAAAAGTCCAGAAGAAGTCGTGTCCTGATTTGCTCCAGTTGCAAAAATTCTGTGAATTCTGTGAGGATCCCCCCCCCCTTTTCACACACCTTTACTAAATTCTGGATCTGCAGCAAAGCATTTAATTTAATAAAGTAGCCTATGGTCATGTTTTTAAATTTATATTTATATGTATGCACCCTGGCTTCCTCCACCAATAAAAACTGACTGACACAAAATCACACAGTAGTGCTGAAAGTGGTGTTAAATGCCAATCAATCAATCCAATCGATAAATTATGACAATTGAGACAGTGCAGTTGAAACTTACGATAATTTAAACACATTCATGACAATGACATGGTTAACAAAAAAAATGTGAAAAATTAAAAACTTTTGAACTCTTACAAAATAATAGCCCAACAAAATATTTTTTGTTGTAGCCTTAAATGAATACACACTGTCAAACTGTGGAGGTCATAACCTTTTTCTGATTGTTTAAATAGATAGGTTTGCCCTTTTAAATATCATTCCCTCAAGGCTCACCAATTATTGCATTAAAGATCTAATTTGTTTATATTATCTCTCTGTTTGAAATTTCTTTAAAACCTTAACAAAGTTATTTCAACTGCTTATTTTTTAAATTGTTTGCAAATTTGTTTTAATAGTCAAAATAACAATTTTTCTTTCAAAGTAGATCCATTAGTTTTAATTTGTTTGCATGAATTCTACTGGGCTATTTTTTTAATTGATAATTAAAAATATTAAAAAGAAAATATAATTTGAAAATTTCCCGCATAATAAAAGAATTTTTGTGGAACAGTTATTTTTCTGAATTACTGCCATAATATGTAGTCTGCTGATTTAAATAAGTGAGATTTTTTCCTCTAATCATCTGTCAGTTTAAAGATCTAAGTTTGATCTGTACTGTCGAGATCAATTTTCCGTATATTACGATAAACAAAAGTTGAACAACATCAAATAGAAAATGTTGTTTGACACATATATATTGATGAAGTTAATGTGTATAGGTATTGGAAAAAGACCCAACTGTTTGGTCTAAATGGTTGGATGAAAAATCTTCCTAAGGAGTCATCTATTATTCATGCGAATAAGAAGTTATACTTTAGTATATAATTGGATTTCTCAGATTTTGTGTGAAGTACACGATTTAAATCTTTTCTGAAGCACGAAATATTGATGTATTTGAGTTTAGTTTCTATCGAATGGATATTGAGAAATACATATACAGTAAAACGTTTTCACTTTTGATTTTTTCCTTTGTGAAAATGTATATAGTTGAATAGAGCTATAGTTAGTGAAATTGTTCGTTTTATGTTATATAGAATAGGAATATTGTGAGAAAACTTAGAATTGCTGAGAGATTGGATAATTTATTCATTTATGTGTTATAAATTGCAATTAGAAATTTTTAAATTGGTAAAAAAAAAAATTGATATTAAATGAGTGAAATTTTAATTGAGATTGAAGTATTGAAATTTAAAAAATGGCATTATTAAATATGATAAATAAAATGGATACTTCAGAAGCACCTTGCAGTCGAAAAGCCAAACGTCAACAGAAAGTTGAAATCCAGCAAGATGCATTTGATATTGACGATGATGAAGAAATTCCTATCATCACAGAAGAAACAGAAGAAGAACTTGCTGCATTTGAAGCAGTAAACAGACCAAGAACAACTAGCGGAAAAATCAGGGTTACAGAAGAAGACCGTCCAGAGACTGCAGCTAGTCTGAAATATAGGCCAAAAAGTGGAAGGTCAACATTTGACAGCAGACCAACAACTGCAGTTACTTTAAAAACAAAGTCAAGGGTAGGTTTTTTTTATTATTTTTTAAAGATTGATATATCTGACCTGTTCATAAAGAACATTTGAGATGGTCTTTATGGACAGGTATAATGGTTGATCTATGTTGTATTGTAAAAAGGGGGAAGAAACATGCCTTCGCTCAACTTTATTCACAAATATTGGTGTGTAAATCGTTGGCATGTAAATATATTATTTAAAATGAAAGGCTATGAAAGAGGGGTGGACAGCTTTTGAGGGAGGTGGGAGGTGGGGGAGAAGGGAGGTGGGAGACAAAAAATAGGTGGGAGAGAAAAAAAGATTCTTAAAGTGGGAGGTGGGAGATAGGGGGCAGGAGGTGGGAGAAGGGTACCCCCCAGTCCACCCCCTCATGAAAGAACTGTTAATTCAGAAATTATTGCATGCATTTATTAATGGTTATTTTTGAAGAGTGGACTGAAATGCAAGATTAAAAATTATTGTGATTTCAGGACAATATGTTAAGTTGGTCGGGTTGTTGTCTCTTTGATACATTCCCCATTTCCATTCTCAATTTTAAGTGAGGGCTATTCCATTAAAATGTATGTGGAAGGGTAGGAATGGAAGTTTAATTATTGAATGTGCACGTGGGTCATGGGTCTTTTTTCAGTATGCGTCTATTACCATTATGCAAAATTATCTAAAAAATGGTTCCTTCCTACCCTCCCACATACATTTTAATGGAATAGCCATGTATATGCATCAAATATCAGAATACTCACCCAGATGCATTATACACAATAATTGTTGAATGTACAGTCAAAGAAGTTCATTTCAGTTAGTCTAACTAGATATTCATTGCTAGTCTAAACTAATGAAAAAGTGCAGATCAATCTTATTTTTGTCCCAGGTTAATATGGCAATTTAAAAGTATAACAGGTAATTTTTGTTCTTTGCAATTTGTGAATGAAACAGTGTGGTCAGTCAGGGTCAGGGTAAAGTTACCCTGTAAGCTGAATTTTTTTTCCAAACTTCTCTGTAATGGCTTTATCTAAAATTTTGAAAGATGTGTTATGCAGTGAAAAAATAATGTATTTAAAACAAGAGGGAGAAAGATACCATGATAAGTCCAATAATGACAGTCAGCATCATCACTAAACTGAAAAATGACAAAAAGACAGAAAACTGTCTACAAAACACTTCATAGTAAAAAGGTTGACAAAACATTGCACAGAAAACTGAATATTGAGGAACTCAGGTTACTGGTTCTGTTAAGATTACCTTATGTAGACTTTTCCGTCGCTAGCATTCAAAGATTTTGGTACCATTGACAACAGTATTAAATACCACATAATGAATCTTAATTAACAGAACTTTATACCTTTACCTAACGTATTTACTCTCCAATTGACTGAATACAATTTATAAAGTTTTGTTGGATTTTCTATACGTCCATTGAGCTTATTTGGACGAGACATCTATAAATCTTCAAAAGGTTGAATTAGGTACATGTTGAAAATTTAATAAGCAAATTTTGCCAGGTAAATGTCTTTTATTTAGATATTTAATTGTCACCCTGTAACATGAAAAATCCATTATGCAAATACTTGGTAGATTTTAAAAGATTTATTGACGTTTACCAAAATCTTTTTACATACATTAAAGCAGAAAAACTTTTCATTAATTTAACTACTTTCTAAATATTTAAATTCTAACTGTGCTGTAATAATATAAGTGACAGTTAGGCCATGTCAAGTTAAATCATTGTTTATGAAAAAAGTAGATGTGGTATAATTGTCAATGAGACAACTCTCCACTAAAGACCAAATGACAATAGAAGTTAAAACAACTTTACCGTAAGGCTCTCAACAATGAACAAAACCTATACTGCAAAGTAAGCTATAAAATGCCCCAAACTGACAATTGTAAAACAATTCAAACACGAAAACTAATGGCCTGACATAAGTACAAAATGGGGAATAAGCGAAAAACAAATATGATATACAGCAACAAATGACAACCACTGAATTACAGGCTCCTGACCCTGGACAGGCACATACAGAATTTGGCGGGGGTTAACATGTTTGCTGGAGCCTAACCCTACCCCTAACTTAGGACAGTGGTTCACATTTCTGATTTCATTGGTCAATATCAATTAAAGATTTGGTGTATATGTCAACGAGACAGCAACCTGATGACACAAACAAATAATGGAATTCTTATGTCTATTTAACTGACACTGATTTTTATTCTGTGCTTTTAAAGATTTTTGTTTTTTTGCATGTTTAGAGGCAAACTTTAATCTTATCAGGAGGAAAGGAAAATGAACAATGTTTGCATAAAATTTGCTCATTACCTATAAAACTTGTTTGTGTGTAACTTTTCCAAACAGATAAAGTTGTAATAAATGGAATAAACATAAGATTTGCATATAATTTGATAAGTATCCAAATCAATAGAATTTTTCATGCTGTTTACGTTTCGAACATTAAGAAACTGCATTCAAGTGTTTTGCCACTTGGCAAATACAAAATAGATATTGATAACAGTATTCCTTCTAAGTTGGCCTTCATTTAGAATTACTCATGATAAATTTCCATAGTGTACTTACTTATGAGAAATTTCCATGGTGTACTTTCATATGAGAAATTTCCATGGTGTACTTACTTATGAGAAATTTTCATGGTGTACTTACTTATGAGAAATTTCCATGATGTACTTACTTACGAGAAATTTCCATGGTGTACTAACTTATGAGAAATTTTCATGGTGTACTTGCTTATGAGAAATTTCCATGGTGTACTTACTTATGAGAAATTTCCATGGTGTACTTAAGCTTACTGATAAGAAATTTCCATGGTGTACTTACTTATGAGAAATTTCTATGGTGTACTTAAGCTTACTGATGAGAAATTTCCATGGTGTACATCCAATATATCTGTACTGTGGATTTATTTATTTTCATAAATTCAGGAAATTTTTTAATTCCTGCACACTTGGTTTTGTAGTTTCGTTTAAACAAATTCTCCTTGCAAGCCTATAGGAAATTTGCATGTTGTTAAATACTTAATTTAATAGTTCATCTCTACCTTCAGAATCCATGAGAATTAGTACCCCTAAATAATTATAAATTATGAATCCGCAGCTCCATTAGTGGCATCCTTTGTATTTTACTCATGCTAAAATCTGGCAATTTATAGACACTATTATAAGACTTCATACCATAGCAGATCGGTAGAAATCTTTTTTGTCTAACCTTTATACCGAATTCATAATTAATCAGTACCTGTTGTTGTTTTTTTTTTAAACAAATTATGGTATGGTCCAAAACTTTTGGGAATATTGTTTTCATCATACGGTAAAAAAAAAGGTCTCAATATTTTTCATATTGAAATTTTGAAGGAAAAAAGATACCTTTATGCAGGCAGCTGCTGAAGAAGGTTTTTTTGTGCTTGCAGAAAGAAAGTTAGATATATATCACTTGCATTGCAGTGATTGGTGCCTTAGTAAACAAATCAGGATTGTCATATATATGCATGATAACCAAGTCTTTATACAGTTTGGCTAAATAACCATGTTTAAATAGCTAAATTACTCCTTGGGGATGATTAAAGACTATCCATTATTGAAATATATTTAAAAAGATTTAAATAACCATATTTAAAGGATCATTAAACACTTATTTATACTCTAGTGAAAATTTGACGTATAAAAGTTCAGAAATTTAAACAAGGATATGTAAATGTTCCTCTAGATATGTAAACAAATGTTTACCATGGCCTAAATTGTAAATGTTTGATTTTTAAATTGTTGTTAGGGTTGTGAAAATAAATTACGTTAAATATTTATGTAAACATTGAAATAATCAAATAGTTTGTCTCCACTGTTTTAAAATATTTAGATTTATTATGTATCTGTTATGTCTATATTAATATGATAGTGGGTAAACTCCATTTGTATTTACAGATAGGATCCCAAAAGTTTAGTTTTTGCTTTCATTTAATTTGAATTTAAACATGAAAATCATATTCAGCCTAATTCTTAATTATGGATGCTAAACTTTACTTATTTCTAACTCCCAATATCTTTTACTTTTGTTAGGAATTACTACATGTATACAGATGTGAATTACTACATGTATATAGATGTGAATTACTACATGTATATAGATGTGAATTACTACATGTATATAGATGTGAAGTACTACATGTATATAGATGTGAAGTACTACATGTATATAGATGTGAATTACTACATGTATATAGATGTGAATTACTACATGTATATAGATGTGAATTACTACATGTATATAGATGTGAATTACTACATGTATATAGATGTGAATTACTACATGTGTATAGATGTGAATTACTACATGTGTATAGATGTGAATTACTACATGTATATAGATGTGAACTACTACATGTATATAGATGTGAATTACTACATGTACATAGATGTGAACTACTACATGTATATAGAGGTGAACTACTACATGTATATAGATGTGAATTACTACATGTATATAGATGTGAAGACAAGATATGGTACTTTGCAAGAATTCCTCCTGAATTGCTCCCTCCCCATTTTGACATGTCTTTGTCTATTTTCTAGCTAGTGGACAGTCACTAAATTGTCAGGTAAAATCTATGTCCACCAGGCCACAATGGTCACTTGTCCAATATGGTAATCTCTACCTAAGCAACTTCATCTTGGTTGCACAGGTTAATTTCATTTGCTCAACATAAAAGAACTGGTAGAGGTTACCGTAATCGGCCTTATATATTTCGCACTTGTAAATTGTTCACACCCCTTCTTGCCATGAGAATTCAGGTAAAAAAACTTTTTGTAACTGTTCAAAACGTCTACTGAAACACAAATAATTTCAAATCGTGTGTAATCAGTTGTAGTATTTTCATGGAAAAACCTGTTTTCCATCTTCGAATAGAAGTTGTAAATGCTTGTAAATGATTCTAGAACACTTCACGAGTGTTAAAATAAGTAAAGTCACAAAAAAAAAAAAAACAATGGAGAAACTTGTGTATGTT